TCTCTATTTGACATATTGATATGAAAAATAAGCTGGTTCACATTAATTTAAACAACAATTAATAATATTTAAAATTAAGAATTCATAATTAACAATTCAAAAACAATATACAATTATTTTTGTAATTGAACTCCAAAATTTAAATATACCACAATGCAATTTCTATTAGTCATTTATTAGTCTAATGTGAAGATTGTATAATTAACTTTTAATTCAAGCCAAGAATTCAGCAATTCAAAATACAATTATTTTTAATATTAAGTAATTTAATAATTGAAATTCAAAAAAAATTATATACATTATAATTCTTAGATTCTATTTAATAAACAATTTGGTTAATAATTAAATAATAGATTTTCAAAAAATAGAAGACAATCATGAAGGCAAAAATGAAAGTTTTGCCTCCTTTCTTTTATTTTTAATTGAAGTGTGCAGCATTATTGCTGCCAAGTTTTTAAACTTAAGTAGTAAAGAAATTTCGAATATTATTTTAAAATTATGGTTGTATTTACCTGAAATTTCAAAAACAGAATATAAAATGAAGGCGATTAAAATGAGAAAACATCCAGATATTTTAGATGTTTTTTCTTCTCAAAAGAAAAGAAAATCTTCAGATAATCTTAATTCATATCCACAATATTTAATACAAAGTCATAACCTAATATGAATAATTCTCTCTTGTACTCTTCCTTTGTCAATTATTAATAATAACGAATTTAGACAATTTTGTAGTTCACTTGATTCAAGATTTATACTTCACAATAGTAAAACTATAAGAAATACAATTATTAATGCATATGATCGAACCAACAAACTCATTCAAAATAAAATAATCGAAACTGCTGAGTTTGTAGCACTTACTTTAGATATTTGGTCACACTCTTATTTTGGAGTAACTTGTTATTGGATTACATATGATTTCAAATTAATTGAAGTTGTACTTGAAGTGATAAATTTTTTAGGATCAGAACTTTTTGAAAAACTTCAATTATCTAAATTTAGATTGGCTCATGAAAATATCATTAGCATTACTGTTAACAATGAAGATAATGGTAATGTGAAAACAGCTTTGTCACAAATGCAATTTGAAATTATTTCATGTTTGAAATTTCAATTTAATGGGTCTATTTATCAAAGTTAAATTTTATTACAATATTAACATCAACAATTTTGTAATTATGATATGTATTCAATTTAAACAAAAGAAATTTAAATATTAAATAAAAATATTGGTGAGCAAATCTTGTTTTTGGCTCATTATTATATGGTTTTCGTCAAAACCATAGAGTATCCAGTAGAGGCGCGATCTGTAAACTAGTAGTTAATATAAATAAACTGTAGTTTATTGTAAAACTGTAGTTAACTGTAGTTTTAAAATA